AAAGGGAGAAGTTATTACTCGATTGATAAACAGAAAAATACACGAGGAAGAAATATAGCAAAGCAAGACCGTCACGAATCTAGAACTATATAAGGAAAGTGTTGAGGGTCTCTGCAGATGATAAGAACAAGACAATCGCAAAATAGTTATAGGGTCGGTTCCTTACTTCCTTAATTCAAGTTCGAGGCTTCGAACAACGGCTATAATTTTCCAAGACAGCTGTTAATTTGTTTGGAAAAAACAAAGTAACTGCTGTTTTTTCATTTTTTGGCCAACGGCAATAAGTAAGGAACGGAGGTTTTAGATTGTCTAATTTTTTTTTAAAGAACAGCTGTTAGTGTTTAGAAATTTTCGCCAAAAAAGTAGAAGAAGAAGAAGATACAGCTGTTACTTGTTGGCCAAGGAAAACAGTTATTTTGTTTTTTCCAAACAAATTAACAGCTGTAAAACTGTAAATTGATCGGTGGTGGATTAATAACAGCTGTTGAACTATAATTTGTATGAGGAGTAACGGCTAAATTCTTACAGTTGTTAAACTTTAAAATCTTTTTTTTTTTCTTTGCCTCCACTGAATTTTTGAGCATGTAATAAATAATTCAATATTGATTGATTAGTTTTTTTTTTTTTACCTGGACATTGATTGATAAATAGATTAATCAAAACCATCGCATCGCGTCCAAGTGCAAAATATTAAGATTTCTTTTTTTTTTTTATTTAAATCTGAACAATACAGGTTCTAACTTTCACTCTAGACACCTCGGAGCATCTCTATTCTGAGACCAATTCTGTGTTGAGCATTCACTGTATTGAAAAAAGATTCCAATAAATTTCTTCAAACTTTGATGAACCCCTCACTATTATTTGACAAAAAAGATTTTTCTTTTGGTAGTGTTAAAGTCACTTCTAAAGATTGTTTTGTAAATCTTAGTTCTGTTTCTGTTAAGAATCCCTAAGTCCATGCTCTTCGCGGATGATATAGTTCTTATGGCGGAATCAAAAGAAGAAATTAACACTAGTTTGGAGTTATGGAGAAGGACTTTGGAGTCGAATGGTTTCCGTTTGAGTAGGAACAAAACAGAATATATGCATTGTGATTTTGGAGGGAGGCAAGGTAATAGGGATTTGGAGGTGAGGATGGGAGAGCAAATTATTCCTCAAGTATCAAAGTTTAAATACCTAGGATCCATTATACAGGAGGATGGGGAAATTGATGGAGACATTTCTCATAGAATACAAGCTGGCTGGTTAAAGTGGAGGAAAGCTACCGGAGTTATTTGCGATAAGAAGGTACCTGAGAAACTTAAAGGAAAATTTTATCGGACTGCTATAAAACCAGCTATGATGTATGGTAGTGAATGTTGGGCAATAAAGGGAAAACAAGAGCACAAAGTCGGAGTAGCAGAAATGAGGATGTTGAGATGGATGTGTGGTCATACAAGAAAAGATAGGATTCGAAATGAAAAGATCAGGACAACAGTCGGTGTGGCACCTATCTAAGAGAAAATGGTTGAAAATCGCTTAAGATGGTTTGGACATGTGCAGAGAAGGCCTTTGGAGGCCCCGGTGAGGAGGGTGGATCAAACAAGATGGAGTCCCATAAAAAGAGGCAGGGAAAGACCGAGAAGAACGCTGAATGAGGTCATTGAACGAGACCTCCTAATCAACAACATATCTAAGGATTGGGTTGTTGACAGAGCACGATGGCGTCGTGTGATTCATATAGCCGACCCCACCTAGTGGGATAAGGCTTGTTGTTTGTTTGTTTGTTAGTTCTGTTTCTGTTAGTTTGCTTGCTATAAATGAAAATATTCCTGTCAATTTGTTTTTTTTTTCCCTCCCTTCTCATCCTTCTGTTGAACCAAATAGATAACTTTAAATGATAAATTACACTCATACAAAAATCATGGGTCCTTTTATTTTAAAAATTATTATTTTAAATAATTATACTTCTATGGGAGCGTTCAAAGCCCCGGGTCCGGATGGTCTACAACCACATTTCTTTCAAACCCATTGGGATAAGGTGGGCAACAGTCTGTGTGAGATAGTCAAAGAAGTGTTTAGAGAGCCAAGCAGGATTGAAGCTCTAAACCAAACCAATATAGTGCTTATTCCCAAAGTGGATCATCCAACTTCCTTGCGGGAACTGCGCCCAATAGCCCTATGTAATGTAAGTCTAAAAATTATCACTAAACTGATTGCAAGGAGACTGCAGTATATCATGAACGATTTAGTGGGGCCACAACAATGTAGCTTCATTGCGACAAGATCAAGTTGTGATAACATTATTATAGCGCAAGAAGCTATCCATATGATGAGAACCAAACCAGGTAGGAAAGGTCTAGTGGCAGTTAAAGTGGACATGGAGAAAGCCTATGACCGCCTAGATTGGACCTTCTTGAAGAATACTTTGGAAATTATTGGATTTCCGGATAGGTTGATAGAGATCATTATGCAATGTGTAAGTACATCAACCTTGAAGGTTCTGTGGAATGGAAATGAAGGTGCTAGTTTTAAGCCATCACGGGGGGTGAGACAAGGTGATCCACTTAGCCCTTATCTCTTTGTCCTTTGCATGGAGAGGCTAGGACATCTAATCTTAACCGAATGTCAAGCCCAAAGATGGAAACCACTCAAGTTTAGGAATGACGGTCCGGCAATTTCACACTTGTTCTTTGCCGATGACCTGATTCTGTTCACCGAAGCCTCAACAAGACAGATGAATATACTCAAGAGAGTAATGTTGAGATTCTGTGAGATTTCTGGACACAAGATTAATTTGGAGAAATCCAAAGCCTTCTTCTCCAAAAATGTTCATATAAACAGGGCCCTGGGCTTAAGTCAAATCCTTGGAATTGGGATTACTCAGGATTTGGGAAAATACCTTGGTGTCCCTCTTATCCATTCACGGATCAAGAAAGACACCTTTGGGCACATTATTAAAAAAGTTCGAACCAGATTAGCTCTGTGGAAAGGGAGATATCTGACAATGGCGGGCAGAACGGTGCTAATCAAAGCAGTGATATCAGCCCTTCCCTCATATCAAATGCAATCTACATTAATGCCAAAGGGTGTTCTGAAGGAGATAGAAAAAATTAGTAGGAACTTCCTATGGTGCCAAGATGAATCGACAAGGAAAATGCATTTGATAGCTTGGGAGAAGATCATGAAAAATAAAGAAGAAGGGGGTTTGGGTATCAAAAATCTGGAATTACAAAATAAGGCTTTCATAATGAAGCTATGTTGGGAGATAATCACACAACCCCAAAAGTTATGGGTGCAATGCCTACGGAGTACTTATGAATGTGGGGAGGAGGTGATACCTGTAGTACAAAGAGGAAAAAATAACTCCCTAACTTGGAAAGCAATCACTTCTGTTTGGGGGACCTTTATAAATGGAATTGGTAGGAAAGTCAATGACGGCCAATCCACAAGGTTTTGGTGGGATAAATGGACCCCGCTTGAAGCACCTCTGATTTATTATACTGGTTGCAGACCTGAACACATCAATGAAAATGATGTGGTGGCAAAATTCAAACTTCCCAGCGGGGGATGGGATGTGAACCAATAGAGAGCTCTATTTCCAGAGTGGGTGATCTCTATTCTTACCAAAATAAAACCACCATCAAATGATAGAGCTGATGTCTTTTGTTGGACTAAGTCGCCTGATGGTAACTTCACGGTAAAGTCGGCCTATAGTTTCTTAACTCATCCAGAGGGGACGACTGGTCAAAGACAATGGGTGAGATTTTGGCGGTGGCCTGTGCCAGAAAAAATAAAATTTTTCCTATGGCAAGTCTCCCAAGAGAGAGTAAGTACGAACTCACTCAGAGCAAAGAGAGGATTAACCCAGACAAATAGATGTCCCTTTGGTTGCAACAGTGAGGAGAACATATTACACACCCTGAGAGATTGTGAGAGGGCAAGGGAAGTGTGGACATTTTTTATTAATCCTAACAAACAACATATGTTTTTCTCTTGTGATTTACAGGTATGGCTAAAGAGAAATGGAAGCTCAAATCCTAGTAAGACTAGATTTCAACGGTGGCCTTGGACAAAAATATTTGGGCATGTGTGTTGGATAATTTGGAAAGCACGGTGTAAACAAAGTTTTAATGAAGAAACCCCTTCAAGCCTAGAGATGCAGCATCAGTGCCTCTTTCATATCATGGAGGATACGGATTCAGGGATTTTATCCCACAGATTAATCCAACGCAGTGAGCGTACCTGGACACCACCAACTAATGGGGAAGTAAGGGTAGACGTTGATGCGTCGGTCCACCAGTATGATCAAGCAGCATGTGGCGGAGTCATACGTGATGCATCAGGAGAATGGGTCATGGGATTTCAGAAAGTGATCGGAGTGTACCCAGTAGCGATAGCCGAAATCCTAGCAATCAAGACTGGGCTAGAGGTCTGCAAACACCTTCATCTTAATGACATTCGAATATATTCAGATTCTTTGGAGGCCATCAATATGCTACTACGAGACAGTGGAGTCAATCACCCTTTTCGAGCAGAGATTGAAGAAACCAGGAAACTCTTGTATGAGGAGTGGAAGGTGACCATTTCACATGCAAATAGAGAAAGTATCCATTGTGCAGATAACATGGCTCGGAATGCCCAAGTTGTAACTCAGCAAATCTCCTTATATTCAGAAGTACCAGATTGGTGCAGGGAAGGCTTTTGGCGAGATAAAAGCTCAGTGGCGACGAGTGGTCAAGGATTTAACTGATGTTATTTCCTTTTGTTCTCTAATTCTCAAGCTCTAGCTTGCCGTTTGTACTCAAAAAAAAAAAAAAATTATACTTCTAATTTTTAAAATAAAAAAATACGTTATATTGTAATTTGAACAAAATTCCTTAATTTCCAATTTCATATTTCGTTAATTGAAGTTAATTCAAGACTCCATTAGCAAAACATCCCGGAGACACATGAAAATGTTTGAGAGAATATAAAAGAAAAAGAAGAGATACTATTTATTTTTCAGCTTAAGCATATTATAAGACGAAAACAAAATGCCAAATTTCATTGTGTGTTAGAAAATTAAAAGTTACATGTGTTCTTACCCACTCTTTTCCTTCTCCCTCTCCCAAACAATGCAGGTTACATCAGATACAACTGATAAACAGACCGAGAAGGAAAATATCCATATAAAATACCTAGGTGTCAATGATGTAAAATCCGCTGCTGCGTTAGAGCTAGAGTTTGTATAATGTACATGAATATTGGCTAAATGATTTTACAACATGCAAAATATCTACAAGTACTGTACCAAAGATTGCAGTAATTCAGTATAACAGACTTGTATAAGAATACAATAAAACGACACATGCTTACCCACCTAACTTCTGTCATGGCTGACTTTTTCACAACGCTATATTTCACCACATAATTCAGAGATTGGCAGGATATTCGCAAATGCGAAATGAAGACCACAGTTTCTTCATGGTCGAAGCAAACAACGCATGGGTTTTACAAAATTCCATGATAGAACACATGAAAATTTCCCAGAACGTCATCTGATATATGTAGCATGAAACTTGTATTCCTCTAAATGAAGGATTTATGAGAGGACATAATTCTGGCTTTTGCTTCAACAATATCCTGGAACTTCTGTAATAGTTCATCATATATTAAGCAACAACAAAACTGGCAAGCTTAAGCTGCTTATCTAATGGCAAGTAGCCTTTTAATAACACGCATGTATGATGCGTTACTTGCAATAACAATTTAGCCATATGATCCTCACTTTCATCAATGGGCTGGGCACCAGGCACGTAAGTGCCATCTGCTATCTGTGCAGCCCAGTAGAATATACGTTCTGTTGATGAACAGAGATGGGAAACAACAGATTCTGCAACAACATCCCAACTTTGGTCTGCTAAAAGAGACGTAAGGGTGACTGGAATATCATTCACAACTGTTTGTTCATCCACAATCATAACAGGCATGTATTTGCAACAGGTAGCTGATAGCAGACCAATAAACTGCAGAACCTGTTGGATAAAGAAGGATATGCGTGTAAAGGATATAGCAAGCAACTGAAATGATTGATTAATGTGATGGCGGCTTATGGCTAATTTTCTGTGTATAATATTACATATAGGAAGGAAAAGGGAATGACGATGTCAGCAGAAAATGAACTTGTGTCCCAATTAAAAAAATTGATAGAAAGATAAATAAAAACTGTTGCATAATAATTAAAGTTTAACAGCAATTATATTTTTCAGTTTTAGAATAATAGAGACTTTGATTCCCTCCCTATACCAAGTAGGCTCTACAGCAGAAATTTCTCTTGTTACTCCAACACACAAATGAAAAACAGAAAAGCAAACTTCAAAATGCAACGATTTAATAATATCTTGGCCTCAGTCTTTAGTGCTGAGTGCTTCACCTAATACTTTATGCAATAAAATCCATCACTGAAGATATCAGTACTTAATTCTTACCGTGGAGGGATAAGGGGACACACAGCTAATTTCAACAGCATCAACAAGCCACTGCCTTTTGACACTCCCTTCTGCGTGGTGCAGAGCTGCCACAACTTCAACGAGCACATCCCACAGACCTAAAAAAATGATTCTTTAGCATAAACCTGCTGTGCCTTTGCAATTCAATATGCTTTCCAGACAGTTATCAAGCAAATGAATTTACAGCAGCTCTCGGTTAAAAAAGGGGCCAATTCCAAAAACAATTAAAACGAGCTGACTAAAAAATAATAGCATACTGCGGCTTAGTAAACTGACCTTGTAATTTGGAATTCAATATGTAAGATTTCATCTTTCCTAGCTCAAGAAATGGCAGAGAACCATTCTTCACTAGCTTTGCCTTAGCACAAATCTTTTTGCAGACCTCAATAGACTTGTCAACATCTTGTACAAAACTCTCGTGTGAAACCTATAACATGTATATAAAGGCGAAGGTTACAGCTTAAAGGTTTTTAAACAGACATTTCATATACCATATGCTTGATCAAAGCACAGGAGGATGAAAAGTTGGAACTTGGATGAATAAAATAACACGCTTAAACAATTCATGAAGGACAGTGGAAAAGATGAATTATGCCACAAGATTATAAGTACAGGAGAATTCACATTAAGATTATAATTAAATGCATACTTACCTTGAGGAAATCAAACAACCAATTCTGTGGCGCTTTCCCTAGGCATCTCACAGCCTCAGACCACTCCTCTACGGAATTTTCATGCTTTGACACCATGCTTCCAGAGGATTGTAACACTGGCAACAATGAAAATAACACTTCCATGCACCTCTGAACTAGAGTTATGTCAAGAGCATCGAAAGAGACCTCATCTAGACATTGATGAAGACCTTTCCAGCACGAGGTGCGTAGCAAGCTCTTTTGATAGGTATCAGAGTCTGGGTATGAAGTAGCAGAAAACAAATAATTAGACACATCACTGAATAGTTTCTCAAGCCTGGAGCTTGAATATACTTTCACAAGGTCGGCTAGATGAATTAGCAGATGTGATTGCAGATGTAGTTCAAGTGTCCTGAACCTGGAAAACTCAGATAGCTCATCAAGAAAAGTTAAAAGTGAATCAAATTGATTGGCATGCGCTAGTGCGAACTGCACACATTCCTCTCTTAAAGTTCCTTGCTCATAAGAAGAATCTGCTGGCAAAAACTCAGACACCTGGGCTTCATATCTCATACAACGCCTGATAATTGCTCCCCAATCAAAGCTTGGCAATCTGGGAGCTTTTGAAAGGCACCTCAATACAGTAACAACTGTGCTAACATGTACAATAGTAGCTGCCTGAACCTGTATGAGATATATAATGAGAAAATTCAATGAAAATATTTCCCTTAATGTAATAGTTACTAAATCCAGGATAAACTAGGAGGATCAGAAGTAACTATAAATTAAATGTACATTTGTTGTCACTTGTCCGTAAGCCACACAAGCAATTATATGATAAAGCATTGAAATGATGACTTCTATAAATTTGACAAAAGCAACTGCAGTGAAGATCATGTTGGTTGCTATGCAACAGATGACTCATTCAAGCATATAATGCAATATTAAATTCATTTAAAGCAAGAAACACGCAAAGAAAAACACTGACAGAAGGCAACTAAAAAGATACAATTATTAAACGAATTTGAAAACAATTCACTAAAAAGCTATAGGGAAGCACCTACCTCATTTTTTAAATCTGTAAGCCACAAACTAAGTTGCAAAACCACATTGTCCTCAGAAAAACTTTGAGCAACGGAGGCTTTTTGATGACCATCGACATCCAATAGTTCCTTGGATAGCAAATGATGCCGGAGAAAAGAGAGAGCCCAGGAAGCAAACTGTTGCCGCTGATTATCATCAGAATTTTGTGCCAGAAGAAACATCTCTTGCACCAATGATGTCAAATATGCTTCATAGATGGAGCCTTTATGCAGCAGGCCCGTGGAAGGAGGTTCCTGCTGTGCATCAAATAGCAATGGGTTTTAAAAATGTGACCAGAAAAAAGTTAACCATCCCGGTAAGACAGATGCTACGAATACTATCAAAATACCTTCTTCTGATAATCAGCTTGCATATCTAAAATCCCCGCACCGACTCCCATAGCATTAACCACTCCAAGCATACCACCCAAATTCACAAGAGAAGGGTAAGGATCAGAGTAACATCTTCTAAACAGCTCCAAGAAACTTTTAACATAGTCAACCTCAGTAGAATGAAACCCCTCATTCAGTATCCATGAAAGAACTGTCCCTGCTCCGAAGCAAGATGCCATCAGAAAACTCTGGTGCAACATGCCAGATTTTTTCACAGCAATTAATTCAGAAATTAACTCTTTAAAGCCACTCTCTATGTGGTCCAACTCAGTCTCATCCATCAATTCCATTCTCCAGCAAAATGAAACTATTATGGGAATTGAAATACAGGATCCTACTGATAAAGCAACCTTGGATTCTTCATTCTGGAAATTAGTGCTTTGAAGTTGTGAGTTTACACGTGGAATCCATGATATTATCAAGCTTTTCATTTTGAGAACAGAGTCTAGGTCTCCAGCTCTGTATACAGCACTAATGGTGAAAGCCAAACCAAGAACAAGTCCAGCAACCCCCCAGATATCTTCTTCCAAGTCTTTACAGTTATCAGATGGAAGTTCAATTGCTTCAGTATTAAAAAAAAATTCTACAGATGGGAAGCAAGAACATAGACTGTCCAGAACATCAGAAGAAGCTCGCGTGATCTGACAAATCATTGCAGATAAGGCCCTAACTATTCTTCCTAGTAAATCAAACTCTGGAACCCTGTCCACGTCATTCTCCACACCAGATTTGTTACCAGCTCCAGTTCTGGTAAGAAGATCTTGGCATGACAAACCCAAACCAACCCCACATGCTCCTTTTACAAGGGAACTTTTGCTAACAAGTAGAACCTGAAAGCTAACACCATCAGTGTGGTGTAACTTTAAATAATCTCATGAGAGTCCAAATATCTTGCTTAGAACATTCCAACTTTAAAAAAATAATCATCATCAATACAAGCTAAAAAATGAGTGGTAATCGAATCTCCTAAATGCTCAAGTTATATCGTGATAGAGCTGCTTTTACTGGTCAAATCAATAAAAGTAAAAGATAGAGGAAAGAGGAAAGCCACTGTTTGAATGTCTGGGGCGTTGAACTAAAGCTTCCCACTATTTTCAATAAAGTTTCATGTGCTGTGTGGGTCTGACCTAGAAAGGGGTGTATTGGGGATTGTGTGACTCACTTTTTGGGCTCCTATTAGCCGTGGGTGTATCCTGGAAGGGATAGACCTATTTTTGCATTATGAGTGTAGAGAGGAGAACTCTGGCCTCTCTAGTGCCTGTATGGGTAGAGGGAAGATCATCTTTCTTCATCATTTTATCTTTCTATGTCTTCTTTTGTAAGAACTTTGTGTGAGCTACCTTCTATGGTAACTTCCTTCTGTTCTTGAGAGGAAGAATGCTGTGATTAATACATTTTGGGTGAGTTCTATCATATGCACAAAAAAGAGGCAGGAAAAACAGGGTGAAAAGCCCAGATTTGCCCATATCCCATTTTTAATTGCCACTAACCTGAAATTCCAATGGTACAATGTTCTAATAAAGGATAGTAAAATTTCTTGATTAAGAAAAATAATGTTCAAAATAATGAATTTCACAAGTAAAGAACAAATGGGTAAAAAAGGTAAATATTTCATGAGTAGATATGTCATGATTAATAGAAATAGTAAACAAGCAATATCGTTGATTGCTTAAAATGTATTGTTTTCAATAGTAATATCGAGTAGTCTACCTGCATATGGCTTTAACCAATGCTGAATACTAGATTACTTTAAATAAGGAATAAAATAATGTAAAAAACGGCACCAAAAGTGCTGACTTCTAAAGAAAAACCTGAATACCATACACATCAGGAAATCCCTGTCCCCTCCCCCCCCCCCCCCCAAAAAAAAAGAAAAGAAAAAAAAGAGAGAAAAATGGAAAGAATGAAAATAAGACATCTCAAGAAAAGAACAAGGATTCCAAATCCTCATAGGAAACAATGAGACATAATCAGTTAACCAATAAAAAAGAAAAGTAGCACCTCAAGAAGCCCTGTGATGTTATGATATCTCTGTTTATGATCAGTTGCATGGAGGCAACTTGAGATCAATCCGAGGGAAATTGCAGCAGACCATTGGCGGTGTTCGTGTTCCTGCTGGAGCAACCACTCCAAAAGAAACTTTGATGCAGCAGATTTTACAGTATGATCAGAAGGAGGCAACACCTGACAATATCAAGAAAGGTCAGATCATAAATATTTGATGCTAATCATAAGAAAAGTTACCTATTATTATGGTCAACAGAGTTGACTAACTAATTTGATGACCCTTTTCCCAAGCATAACCCCAAGTGATTATTTAAAGATCTCAGTTTGCAGCAGTCACTAGAATTGAGGGGTAAGAAACAATGCAGGGTTACACTTGCTTCTACGATCATCCATGCAGCAAAAACATATTTGTCAACAAAGTTACAAGTTACAATTTACAAGTTTTATTATTCTGCAAAGGGCCTTTACATTTTACATATCCCACCAGCAGTGGATTTATCTGTCACATATGCTTGACATGAAAATTTGCTAGTCGGAATCTATAATCTTTATAATCAAGCTCACATCCATGGAAAAGTTCTTACCACACAGAGAGCACCAACAGCCAATGCAATGTTTTCAGCACATCTAGGAATAGCTTCATTTCCTATGGCTATCATACTCTGCAAGTATATAATACGACAAGCTGAATCAGATGTGACGCATAATTGTGCAGTACATGCCAATAACTAAATACAGCCCAAAAAGAGTACTTTAAAGTTACAAAACAAAATATTAAACCTTTAACATAGTACTAGCAGCTTTAGAAGTTTTATCTAGTACAGCAGACTGTGCTTTAGCATTATGGGAAAAAATGTGAGCCCTCATCCAATGTCGCATGAAGCATTTCCATGATTGCAGTGCCATAAGTGCAACCAAAATATTTCTTGACAGCTGAAGTGAACCAGCCATTTCTACAAGTGCATTTACATACTCAGAAAGTGCATCTCTTCCCTGAATGTCAACAATGTCAGATTAGAGGGGTGTTTGGTGCAAAGATTTATAATTGTTTTTTTCTCTGTGACAAAAAGTTTTGTAATTAAGTACAAGGAATCATTTGGCCAAGCAATCCAATCCCAGAATGAAATACACCAGCAATCAAAAAAGAGTATTTGGAATAAACATTAGAAAATAAAATGGGAAAACTGAAATTCCATGGGTGCACTTTTGATAGGGTTGCCCAAATTTTGTTGAAAATCAAATGGCAAGGGAATAAAGATTCATGTGAAACAAAGTTGGAAACATGGTATACTTCGTTCTTGAACAATTTTAAGAAATATGCATGCCATACACACCTTAAAAATGTAATAACCAAGAGAATAAATCTAGTTGTTAAAGATCTTACTTTCTGTCTCTGCTGTTCATTCACTTTTTTAGGAGTGAAAGACAGACATATTAAGGCAGCACCAGGCAAATCCTTAGCTTCAGTTATCTTCCCTACAAATAGGAGGCTTATATGTCAAAAAGAAAAAGAAAATTGAAGTATCAAACTAAGTCCGTTAATTAAATAATCGCTGATACAATTGGTAACTGGTAACATTCAATTAAGGACTGCTTATTGAAGTATCAAACTAAGTCCGTTAATTAAATAATTGCTGATACAATTGGTAACATTCAATCAAGGACTGTTTATTATTCTTTAAATTATATTAAGGTTATCATCTTCTATCAGCTAATGAGAAGAGAATTTTACTAATGGTTTCGTTTATATTTCAGCAAAAGGTGATAATTTTATTTTCCAGAATTAACCAACCAAAGGTCCACAAAAAATGCTTGAGACAGGTGAGAATTATCAATTCAAAGTTTAAACATTTTATTTCTTTTTTCCATTCAATATCAGATCCAAAATTCATCTTAGTAAGAATTTCGTAAGAAGGAACGAGAACAGCCAATATTATAATACCTGAAGAAAATATAACCTGAGGAAATACATCCATCAATTTTTCAATCTTACTTCCTGTAACTCTTTTCTCCTTGATTGATCTTCGCCGATTTCTGGAGAAAATTGACAGGTTATGAAATTTAATCATATTATCATATTTCTCAGCAACTCAGCAAATTGACTATAGAAAATAATTCACATGTGTTCATATGTTATAATTTTGACTTGAATGTCTTCCATAACCCTGAGTATACTGGGACTTGTCTCAGAAAATAGCAACTCCAAGTTCCTCTTTTTAAAATCTGGTATACTCTGTTCAAGATATGACACCTGAAAAGGTGGGACAGCACAACATCATTGGAAAAATATATTTATGTTACAAAAATTGCCAGTGTCAATTCAAGCAGGTTACTAGAGATACCTCATACTGTGTAAGTGCTTGTAGGGCTGAGATTCTTGGTTTTTCCCATTGTATCTCGCTGCCAGCATGACTATAGCTAACAATGCTCCATAGAAGTTGCAGCACACCTTTTGCCTCTTCTGAATATGCTTCAGCGTCCATCGCACCCCATCTTAGTAAATGGCAAATGCTGGCACAACAGCTGATTATGAGGCAGTATGTTCTACCAAGAAACAATCGCATTCTAATATTTGGAGTGGATGCATTGATACAGATCAATAAAAAAACCCAGAGAAGAGACATAGAGGTGATGAGCCAAGTATCAGTGGCTTCTGGTGGGTAAGTTTATGTGAAAAAGGTGAGGAATAAGGCTTAGGCATAGGAGATTTGGGTGAGGTTGCAAGAGGGACAGAAGGAGAAATATCTGATGTTAACTAACCGAATCACATGAATCATGGGGAATGTTAGCCAGATTGGGATGGAAGAAAGGATGAATTTGCTCCAGTTGGGATAGACAATAACCTGCCAAAAGCCAAGGGGAGACACATAGGGACGGAAGAGAGGAGAGAGAGAAAAGAGACAATAGAGAAAGAAAAGACAAGAGATAGATCCTTCTGATCAAATTTTCAACAGGTCCTCAAATTTTTGTTCCCATATAAAGCACATCACAATTTCGGGGACCATGTGGTGGAAGACTATCCTTCAAATTTGTGCAATCTTGATTCCTTTGGAAATAGTTTTCAACAATATCAAACATGACAAAATTATGATACACTTCCTACACCCACTACCACTTTCACATCCAGGATTCCAGAATACCAAACAAAACATCATCGATAATTGTGATAGTGAAAACATTACTTTGGGATCAAAGCTTCTGCTCAGGCGTGCTTACCTTTGTGCCAGAACTGGATCCGCAAGGTAATCTTTCACATGCTTTTCAATGACAATCCAAGCAGTGTAAAAATCTGAACAGATACATAGCAAAAACAAATAATTTAATTGTAAGCAAAAGAACTGAGTTCATAAAATCAGCTGAATCCTTCAACAGGATATCCTTCACAAAGTAAAATGAAAATTACCAATTATATCAGCCTCACAAAGGTGGGCAAGGCTTTGCAAGCCAATAGATTTAATTAGCAGATCTGGGCTCTCAATGCAAGACTGTTGTGCAAACACAAAAAGCATGATATCTCAGAAAAGCATGCACCAGACAAGAAGAATCAAGAAAACAGTATATAGATGTCACACACCGAAACAGACAAGATAAGGTCAACACCCCTATCAGGGTTTTTCTGGCAAACATCTCGAATGGACGCAGCTCGGCTGATGCATACAATTCTATCTGACACAAAATCAGTAAACCCTTTAGCAAGCAACACCCCCTAATAAGAAGAATGAAGAAAAGGTTAGACCTATTAACCATAAGACTTTAATGAAACAGCCAGTAACGATCAATCAAGCAGCATCTAAATAGTGAATATCTTAAGTTGGAGGAAATCTGTTATGACACTTCGAATCCAAAATTCCAGGCACAAGTTAGAAAAAAATAAAACAGTGAGAAACAAGAACATGATACTTCGTCTTGCAAAGCATCAAGCAAGGTTCAAATCAGGCATAATGGCTGAGCACAAATTTAAAGGCTCCACCAGCCAGCCTTACTGGAAACAGTTAAAACTTGTAATGGACAAGCTTTGACAGTGTGCTCAAGGTCATCAAATTGCTCTTGGGAACATGTCTTGGGTGCTATCATCTGGAGAGTGGTTCTAATACCACTTTGATACAGGATGGACGTTTTAATCATCAACAGAACTATAATGATACATGGATCTAGTTTATATAGTCTACCCGTGTCACATGCTAAGTTTTATTACAAGTATACCTCCCTCCAACTAACTCACCCACAGTTAGCAAGGAATTCCCACGCTTGCATCACTTCTAACAATTAAGAACAATTGGCTTAGTTTCTTGAAGCAAAAGTGAATCAGTAGAAGTCCTTTAATAATCTCCTCTTTCTTAGATCTCTCAAGTTCTTGCTCCCTAACATGCCAAGGTAAGCCAAGTTAATTACACAGCTCCTATAGTAAATCTAACAACCTTGCATGCCACCATCTAATTAAAGTAGTAAATGGTAAATTAATTCCAAAACCGCAATTTTAATTCACTTCTCCAGTCCATTATCATTCAAATGTTCTTGAGTGGTTAATTTTTCATTCCTATTTTTTATCTTTCTATAAATAACTAGCACGGCTCTGCAACGTTAAACAGTAAAGATGACAATGAAAAACTTACTTGCAAACTCCCAAAAGCTCGATCATTGACTTCCCAGGTTCTACACAGCAATCGAGTTGCCGTAGCACACAACAAACTAAATGCACAAAAACAAACAATAAAGTTGGTTTAAATTGAAATCCAAAAATTGTTAGAGGCGTTTTGTTTTTAGACATAAGAGTAATAAACGGAGGAACCCAACTTGTGGCAAGAGAAACATAGAGTTAGGCATATAACAAGAAAAAACCATACTATTACTTGAATTTAACATAATCTTGCTAGGAAGTTATACAGATCACACAAGACTCGTGACATGAAACCTATTCCTCTAACATTTCAAGATGTTGCACATGGAAAGCCCCGAATAAAATTCTCAATTTCTACAAATTTCTCACAATTATGAGCCTGAAATGAAATAACATTTGCCCACATTATTTGAAGCCATCAAGAATAACAGCTAAAAAGAAGCATAAAAGAAGCTTTCTTAATGTAATTATGGATCCCTTTTTTCAACTAAAGGTGACATCAGTTCAAAGTTAAAACATGAAGATCAGTAACTTTTAAGCAATATTTGAAGCCCCGTGATAGATGAAGCACCATAATACATTTTACTACAAAAAGGGGGGGGACAGAAGAGAGATTTCCACACCAATCCAGGAAAAATAAACAAAATCTAAAAACAATATAGACAGTTTGGCAGAGTACCCACCCTTCACCATCTTTGTTAAGCATAGGCAAGATAGTCTGAACAACAAGTGGAATCATTGTAGAGTGTGAAGCAAGTGACGGCAACATTTCAAAAATTTTTAGCTACAAGGAAGATGAAAGAAAAACAGAATGATACTCACAAAGGATGGAAATAAAGTAAAACACAATCCAATAATTAAGCACCACCCCAGGATACCAAAAAAAGTTACCAGCATATCATGGCTCATGACATCCTTTCTTGTGAATATATTACTGTAAAACATAATTGTTAGCAGTAAGGGAACTCCCAATTTGGGATCCACAAGACCAAGGGTAAACCAAAGAATCAACAGCTGCTGCTCCTATCGATGGATGAATTAATAGAATGCCAACAACAGCGCTGAGTAACAAAGGCATTTCTACAAGGACAGAGGTTGAGAATAACATCAATCCCTGACATTTTTAACACGTTAAGCTAAACAGCGTTCCCTTTATCTAAGTAATATACCTGTCAAAAATACTTCCTGAGAATGAGAGAGAGGTAATATTGATTTTCGTTGGTTCACAATTGATGAACAGAACCTTCTTACTTGAGAAACCCAATTTTGTTTACCATACATTATCATGCCTTCATTGACGCTTTCATTACTTGAGAAACCCAAAGTCATATTCAGAGGGAAAATTCCAGATGAAGATCCTCTGTCCTGAAACAGCCAAAAGATATTTCTAAACGATCTAAATTTATAGCTGCAAACAGCCATTGTTTTCACCATTTTAACAACCATTTTCCAGTAACACATCACTGAGTAGTTAGCAAACTACTAGTATTTAAGACTAAAGCAGTTTGACACATCCAATTAAAGATAATGAAATACCATACTTTCCAATTCACCAAAAAAGAAAGATTAATATCACATTGGAACAGAGAGGTAATAAATTTTACATAGCAGACACATAACCTGATACCACAGATGGTGCAAAAGTCTTGAAATTATAATTCCCGGAGAGGCTGAGATAATGAACTCCCTCAGTGGTTGGTTCATTTTGTGGTACCAAAAGCACTTTAACAAGGAGCTTCTCCAATAAATAAAGCAATTCAGTAGCCAGCCCTTTCACATGTTTCGAAGGAGATGACATAAGGCTTATGACAGGAAGTAGGAACAAACTTTCTTCCACTGGGATAGATTTAGCTCTGCTAATAGTATTATCTGCATTAGTAACTATAATTATAAGTAAGAATATCCAGGAAAGTTTAGGACATAAGAGGAGAATATAAATTCACATAAGTACAAGGATTTTCTAATGAATTTGTGTGCATAAGAAAAATACAATAGGACGAGATATTGCAAAGCAAGACCGTCAGGAATCTAGAACTATATAAGGAGAGTTTAGGATCTCTGCAGATGATAAGCACAAGACAATTGCATAATAGTTAGCACATTGAATGCCTAAGGACGTGAATTTTGTTTCTCAACCAAAGGACAAAAAAGCATAAGCATAAGCTAACATAGACCCTCTGCACATCTTTACATATATCATTGGACTACCTAAATCAAATATGGACGGTCCACGTTTATTATTTTTGTGATTTTGATGTTTGGATTTCAAAAATACGGACTGCTCAAGTTTGATCTAAAAAAAAATTAGAACAGCCAGATCAGATGCGCCTGGTGGGGAATTCAGGTCCAACAAAAGTCTATGAATATTCTTTTACTGCATTTCAAAACACAGACGTCGCAATTCTAAATATACAATATTGTACAGTTACTCTGTCTGTTCAACTTGAGTGCATGCATAGTACAAAAGCAGAATAGCTACTATAAATCTTACCATTTTCATATTTCACTTCAGTATTGTAGAAATGAGTTTCAGAATAGAAATTTGAACATGCTCAAGTTCTGATTGAACAAGGATTGTCCATAATGATACCATAGTTGATGATAAACCAGGAAGCCATGTCAACCCATGATCTTTCTGTACAGACACAA